TTGCTTGCGTCCGATCCAGTAGAAAGTGTATCCAGCGTGCATTTCCGACAACTGTCCTTCTTCAGCGTAGCGAGTCTCACTGAGAGCAGCTATCTGCACTTTGTATCTGGCCAACTCTGTGGCAATAAGGGCAGTCCTCCTCTCTGGTCTGTTGGTCCCAACATGGTCCAACAATGTGCGCACATTCCATGTGCCTATGATGAGTGGTGTCATCTTGGTTGTTTTTCTTTCTTTCTTACCGCTTTAATAGGTTCCCCGCCAGCCGCGGCATGCTGGCCAGGGTAGAGGTGAAGCAGGCAATGTTTGAGGCACCTTTTCTAGCCCCTTCCCCAGGCTGGGGGGGGGAGCAGTGCTATCCTGAAGAGGGCTGCTCCATCGCTCAGGTGGCTGCCGAATTCCAACGCTGCTTCATTGATGGAAAGCGACCCTATGGCCTGAGCCACCATGCGTGCAGGATTGTGACTACGACTGCCAGTGTGACCACACCTGTCGCTTTGCCACGCACCCGTCGCCGCAGGACTTGAAGGAACGAGAGTGTGAAGTCATGACTTGCGCATGAATTGGATTATAGTGAGGGAGAGTTGCGCATGGTCATCAGCCTCACTCTCTCGTCCCGGCCCACCTAAGTCCAGTGGCAAGACAAAGTCAAGACGGCTGGAGATGGGTAAGGTTGCAGTGGATGGCCAGCAGTGTCCTTCGTGTCTCACTGTGCCCTGATCGCGCTCCACAGCACTTTGCTGGAACCGCCTTTCTGATCGTTGAACCAATCTAGTGGTTTCTTCCGCTCAGTCTGCCGGGTCCAGTCTTCGCATGCATGGGCAGACAAGCCCTAGTTCACCGGGGATTCAGCGGCGAAGAGGACGGCGGTGGCTTAACCAAACACAAATCTCTCCGCAGGAAATCTTCCTTTACTAAAATGAAACCCAGTCTCAATAAAATCCGCATGAGGTCGCAGATAGTTCACAGCACTTCTCACCTTGACTGATTTAAGAAAGATACTACAGAAGAGTCTCCAAACCTCCTAAGACCCAAATCAAACCTCTTTGGATGAATATCTGCAGCTTTCAAGTACATTTGCCAC